GAAAACGAGCCGTTCCGAGCTCCCCTCGCCCCATGGGGACGCCTGGAAGGGCGCGAGGAGGACGCCGTGCGCGGTGCCTGGCGCCACGCTACGGGGAGGCCTTTCCGGAAGAGCAGTAGGAAGTGGATCCCTGAGACAGGCCTGGCAGGAAGGAAGCCTCACTCCCAGCCCCACCCCCAGCCCCAGTGGGAACTTCTGTCCTTCACACTCCACGCAGCAGCCTCACCTCCAGCCGGACGGGCGCTGTCGCCCACCCCGAGACACAGACACCTCCCCATGCTGTCGCACGTGCTACGTACAACCCTTGGGGGCCCTGCAACATCAGACACACGCGTGCACTACCAAATGCATGCACGTGGCTAAGAAGTACCTGTAATTTTGAAAATGTTTCTGAGTATGCAGCTTTTAAAACATTTTGGCAGGAAAATTACAGCCTCAAAGTGCAGGAGGAAAATGGGCCCCATTAGACTCACGTAGGAGCATCAAAGGCAAGAGAAGCAGCAAGTCGGGGGGCGGGGGGCGGGAGCGCTGGCGCCGGGTTAAATGCAGCAGGGCGGCTGCAGCCGGAGGGGCCGGGCCCACCCCAGCTCGGCCGAGGTCCTGCCCCAGTGACACAGGCCACCTCCCCAACACCAGCCACTGTCATGCGCGCCCCCCCTGCCACTCAGGCAAGGCAGAAGTACAGGTGGGAAGCAGACACCGCCCCCACGACAGCCAGAGAGGGCCGTGGGGGTCGCCGCCACCCTCCACCCACTGCCCATCACCTGTCCCCAGCGCCTACAGAAGGCCACCGTTAGCCGATGTCCGTCCTGCACGCTGGGCCCAGGCACAGCCCCCCGGCTCCCCTGACCACCAGCCAAGCCTCTTCTGAAAACTCAAGCCCTGACAGCTCCAGAGGCTCAGCGGGACGTCACCCCGCGTCACCCCGCGCAGCCGGTGTGCAGTCATGCGGCCCAGGCACCATCCACCTCACCCTCCTCTGTGGTTTGTCTCCCACCTACGGATTTGGGGGCTGGCCTCAGCCAGGTAAGTGGGGACCACACAGTGCCTGGCATCCATCAAATATACCCCCCTTCAGGTCCAAGGGGGGCGGTGCCAGCTGGCGCATTGCCCGTTGGCCACATGGCTTGGGGTGACAGATGGCCAGCCAGCTGGCCTGTCCTTGGGAGGCGGTGGAGGGCCGGGTCCCCGCAGGGGAAGCTGCTTTCCTGTCTGGCAGGGAAGCCCACGCCGGCAGCCTGGGGACCTTCTGGACTGGTGGACACTTCCCCACCTTGGCTGGGATTGGGCTACCAGGTATGGTGAATGTGCCCACCTCAAGCGGACCATAACCCACCTCCCTGACGTCAGCAGTATGCGGGGACAGCCAGTGGTCACCCCACAGTCACCCATCTCACCTGCATCCTCGGCCACTCGTCCCCACACCCAGAAATCCCCCAGGTCCCCTACAGTCAGGAACAAG